ACCACCATATACTAACCTTCATCACCACAACACTAACATACATCACCCCAATTACTAACCTCATCACCACCAACACTCACACAATCATCACCACCAACACATCCACCACAACATCACACCACACACTCACCTTCAAACATCACAAACTCACCAATCAATATCACCACCAATACTAACTATCTCACCACCAATACTAACCTTCATCACCACCAACACTACCTCAACATACACAACACTCACATCATCACACAACCACATCAACATCATACCAACACTCACCATAACATTCACCACCAACACTAACCTATCAATCAATACCACCATCCTAACTTCACATCACCACCAATACTAACCATTCATCACCACCAACACTAACCATCAACATCACCACCACATAACCAGAACATCATCACCACCAACACTAACCTCACATCACCACCAACACTACCATCAACAACACCACCAATACTAACCTTCATCACCACCAACATAACCACTCAACATCACCACCAATACTAACTTCATCACCACCAACATAACCATCAACATCACCCAACACTAACCATCAACATCACCACCAACACTACCTTCATCACCACCAACATAACCCCAACATCACCACCAATAACCTCATCACCACCAACACTAACCATCAACATCATCAACTCAATACTACCACCACATCACCACCAATACTAACCTTCATCACCACCAACACTAACCATCAACATCACACCAACACTAACCATCAACATCACCACCAACACTAACCCATCAACATCACCACAACACTAACCATCACATCACCACCAACACTAACCACAACATCACCACACACTCACCATCAAATCACCACCAACACTCACCATCAACACACCACCACCAATCCACTAAACCACACACTCACCACACAACACCAAACCACTCACCATCACCACCAATACTAACCTTCATCACACCACACTAACCAACACCATCACACCACACAACACTACTACCTCACACCACCAACATAACCATCAACATCACCAACCACTAACACATCACTCACCACACAACAAACCATCACCACACAACACTAACCATCAACCTCACCACCAACACTAACCATCAACATCACCACCAACACTAACCATCAACCATCACCACCACACTAACCATCAACATCACCAACACTCACCATCATCACCACCACACACATCACCATCCATCCCACCAACCACACCACAACCATCACCACCACCTCACACCTTCATCACCACCAACACTCACCATCACACCACCACCACCACCCACCATCAACACCCCACCACCAACACCCCACCACAACCATCACCATCAACACTCATCATCACATCACCAACACTCACCATCAACACTCACCATCCACATCACCCCCCCAACACTCCAACATCACCACCAACACTCACCATCAACCACATCACCAACACAACCATCAACCTCACCACCAACACAACCATCAACATCACCCCCAAACTACCCTTCATCACCACCAACATTCACCACACACTCACCATCAACCCACCACCAACACTCACCATCAACATCACCACCAATACTAACCTTCATCACCACCAACCTAACCATCAACATCACCAAACACTAACCATCAACATCACCACCAAACCCCACCACCATCAACACCCACCAATACTAACCTTCATCACCACCAACACTAACAATCAACATCACCACCAACACTCACCATCAACATCACCACCAATACTAACCTTCATCACCACCAACACTAACCATCAACATCACCACCAACACTCACCATCAACATCACCACCAACACTCACAATCCAACACTCACCAACATAACCATCAACATCACCACCAACACTAACCTCAACATCACCACCAACACTAACAATCAACATCACCACCACACTAACCATCAACATCACCACCAACACTAACCATCAACATCACCACCAACACTAACCATCAACATCACCAACACTAACCATCAACATCACCACCAACACTAACAATCAACATCACCACCAACACTAACCATCAACATCACCACCAACACTAACCATCAACATCACCACCAACACTAACCATACATCACCACCAACACTACCAATCAACATCACCACCAACACTAACCATCAACATCACCACCAACTCTAACCATCAACTCACCACCAAACACTAACCATCAACATCACCACCAATACTAACCTTCATCACACCAACACTAACCATCAACATCACCACCAATACTAACCTCATCACCACCAACACTAACCATCATCACCACCAATACTAACCTTCATCACCCCAACACTAACCATCAACATCACCACCAAAACTAATCATCATCACCACCACCAACGCTAACCGTCATCACCACCAGCAGCGCTAACCGTCAACATCACCACAATAACAGCCATCAACATCACCACCAACACTAACCATCAACATCACCACCAATACTAACCTTCATCACCACCAACACTAACCATCATCACCACCAACACTAACCATCAACATCACCACTAACACTAACCATCATCATCACCAACACTAACCATCAGCATCACCACCAACACTAACCTTCATCTCCACCAACACTAACCATCAACATCACCACCTCCAACACCAACACTAACTTGACTAATAAATACTCATATTCCTGCCTGTCTCCATGGGGAGTTGGAACAGAATTCTTCCTCCGTAAGCCATGTGTGTCGTAAGAGGCAACTAAAATGTCAGGAGCAAGGAGCCAGTAATCCCTTCTCCTGTATATATTACTAAATATAAAAGGAGAATTTATTTTTTTCTTTTGGGCGACCCTGCCTCGGTGGGATATGGCTGGTCTGTTGAAAGAAAGATTCCTCCCTGCACATGGTCAGGCTAAAAGGCAAAGTTTACTTGAATACCACCATCCTTTAACCACTCTGAGGAAAATTATAGTAGTTTGTCCCTAAACATGACAAAATTGTCTTGCAAGGAGAATGTGCATGACAAACCAGACAACACAAGGTCTCTTCATCTAGCTAGAGAACACTGCTATAAATATTAAGTGTAGATGAAGTCAGGAGAGGAGAGAGAGGTCCCAATAAAGGAATATGATAAGTGCAAAATATTGGAGAAATAAAAGGGAAACTGAAAAGTGTCATCATAAGTAAATATTACCAGTGGTGTCTTAAGTCTTGGTACTTGTCTCATTTGTGTCTTTACTGGTAGATTCTGAAGAGAATTTTCAAAACTTTGATGAATTTGAAAGGCATGTAAAAGAAGAAAATTAAAAGCGAGCATCGAAAAGAGCAAAATAATGGAAGTAATAGAAAAGTACAGTGGACCCCATTTAACGATATTTTTTCATTCCAGAAGTATGTTCAGGTGCCAGTACTGACCGAATTTGTTCCCATAAGGAATATTGTGAAGTAGATTAGTCCATTTCAGACCCCCAAACATACACGTACAAACGCACTTACATAAATACACTTACATAATTGGTCGCATTGGGATGTGATCGTTAAGCGGGGGTCCACTGTATAGGTAATGAAAGACTAGATATCGACTGGAAAGAGTATTTAGGGAGTGAATGTATTTAGATATTTGGGAGCGAAAAATGAGATGAACCATAAAATAAACAAAGGGTAAAAGAAAGGTGGTGTAGTAAGGCATTTAAGGAAAGAAAAGTCCAGCTATGGCAGAAAAAAAGGTGAAAGTACCAGAGTATAATGGTATGCAAAAAACCTACATACCATTAGACTGAAAGCTTACGGTCCAAATCAGACCAAAACATTGTCATAAATTTCAGTCTCCTATGTGCAGGTTATTTGTGTATTGTTCCAGTGATGTTACTGTGCCTTTCTGTTCTTTCTCTGTAGTGGTACCAACACTTTTATATGGGTGTGAGGCATGGGTTTTAAATGTTGTAGTCAGGAAGAGGCTGAAGACAGTAGAGAGAGATATCATATCTGAGAGGAATGTGTAGTGTGAATATTATAAGGAGGATTTAGAGTTTGGCAATCACAAGACAGTGTGCAGTTACCAGATGTATAATTTAGAGACTAAGGAGGGGTTGTTTTAGATGGTTTGGGCATTTAGAGGGGTTGGAGCAAAATAGGTTAACCATGAGAGTTTATAATTCTGGTCTAACTCTATGTCATACACTATTTATTTGTAACATGAATGCATTTAAAATGTCTAAATATGGTTTGGTATATGGCTACTCTTTCTCAGAAATGGAAGGATTTCAAGTGGAAAAAAGGTGGTGCCTGAATCAATAAGTATATTATTATTATTACAATCAAACTATGCGCTAAACCTACAAGGGTCATACAGCACAAGTGGGTATATACCCTCAATTTCATATAAATAAAGTTGTGCTCTACAGAACATGTGTAGGACCAGGTGTCAAAGTAGACAGCCTGATATTGAATGTTTATGAACAATTCATATGATTCAGACATGCTTTGGATAGTTTACACAATAAAATATTTATCATAATTCTTTTCTTCTTCTTTCAACAAACTAGCTGTATCCCACCAAGCCAGGGTGGCCCAAAAAGAAAAACAAAAGTTTGTCTTTTTAAATTTACTAATTTAGTCACCTCTTACAACACACATGGGTTATGTAGGAAGAATTCTGTTCCACTTCCCCATGGAGATAAGAGGAAATAAACAAGAACAAGAACTAGTAAGAAAATAGAAGAAAATCCAGAGGGGAGTGTGTATATATATGCTTGTATATGTATGTGTAGTGTGGCCTAAGTGTAAGTAGAAGTAGCAAGACGTACCTTAAATCTTGCACATTTATGAGACAGAGAAAAAACACCAGCAATCCTACCATCATGTAAAACAATTACAGGCTTCCGTTTTACACTCACTTGGCAGGACAGAGGTACCTCCCTAGGTGGTTGCTGTCTACCAGCCTACTACCTAGCATTCAAATAGATATTCTGGTTTTATTTTTCCTACATCCAGAGAAAAATGAGTATGGGAAGTGAAACGTACCTTAACGTCAGGCTCTACAGGTGAGGCTGGTACGGTGATAGTGACTGTGCCAGAATGTGGGCGTGGGGGTGGTGGTGGAGGTATAGATGTCGGCCGTTTCGCAACCTGTGTGGTGACGAAGAACATTTTCTTGTCAGCAATGAAAACATCTACATAAATAAAATTTTAAATTCATTTCTAATCACTGTAGTATGTGATTCCCAGCTAAGAATATTTAATGAATCACAACTAGAGACTAATTTTTAAGACAACACAGGAGCACATAAGAGCCACTTAACATCAAAAGCAAAATGGTAAAAGCAAAAGAAACTACAATGAGGACTCAGAAAGAAGAATACAAATGAAGTTTACAATCTAAATAACATTTAATGGAATTAAAGGGTTGTAAATGTGTGTGTAAACCACAATTGGCAAGTATACTATACCAAAATTGTAATTAAAAGATGGTAATATTTTGTAGTACATATGTATACAATGAAGACTTAAGAGTCTGAGTGAACATAAACCCTTGATTTCCACAAAATAGGTGTGTAAGAGAGAAGCCATCACCTTACCTGGACAGTGATGGAGTGAGCAGGGTGGATGGTGGGAGTCTGTGTGACAGGGAAGACACTATGGTGAGCAGGTGTGGACGGTGTGCCAGGAGTGGGGTGGTAGACTGAGCCATGAGGGGTGGGGTACGTGGATATATGGTGAGTAGCAGCCACAAGTGCAGGTGCAGGAGGAAACTGCTGGGGTTGTGTGGGGACACCATGGGTGATGGAGGGAGGTGGGGGAGCCACTGTGGGGGATTCCAGATTGGGGGGAGCTGGAGAGGAAGGTACACCTCCCATATTGAGCGGCCGCACCTCCGGCATTGCCAGTGGGCGGCAGTGGCGTTCCTCTCCTGGGGTCTTCTCGTTATCAAAATCTAAGCGAGTTGGAAGTGCTCGAGGACCTGTTGATTAAAAAGCACATAAAATATTTGTCAAAGTTCGAACACATCCCAGTACATTTTAAGACTGAGATATGTCTTTTCAATAATTACCGTGACATGCAATTCTTGTATATTTATTCATTCTCTGGTGCTAAAATATGTTATTACCTTTTTTAACTATTTCATATATTTAAGAATTTTTAAATGCTTTTCAATCTGATTAGGACTAAAAGTCCTATTTTTTTAGTGTAATGCAGCAAAACCTGCCTAGGAATGTTCCAGAGAAACCTCAGAACCATTCAACTATAAATGGGAAGGCATTAAATCAGCTGAAGAACTCTACAAGATCTATGGTGAATTCCAGTTAAATTATTCTATAAACCATAAATTCATAGTTCATTTAACTAACCAGGAGTGATAGGAGTAGCAGAACTAGATGTAATGGGTATGGCATTTCCCCCAGAGAGAGAGTGCATAGGTTCGTGACTGGGTTGTATGTTTTTAATAAGTCTTCCCCACGCCGCAACATTAATGTTCATCTGATTTGGTCGTAGCACCTTTCCTTTCTGCATAAACAATTTTTTCTGTCGCTGTAATTTGGGCTTGCGAGAGATCATTGGATTTAGGAATTTGATCTGTTGGAAAAAATAAAAATTACAAGAAATTATTACATGAAAATCCTGAAGAATTAAATACATAAGTTACAGGAGGACTCCTCTTATACAGCAGGTTAGTTTTCAGGATATTGTTGATAGCAAAAATTGCTATAAAGTGAAATAGCCTTTTTTTACTTTCAAATGCATATAAAAGCCTAATAACATGTTTACACTATCATATATTATGTGAGCTAGGCCTAAAAAATGCATATATAGTGCACATATTACTTTAAAATATTTTTGTCCTTAGCTTAGAGTGAGTGGTGAATATATTTATTGTAGGAAAACTGAATAAATGAAGAATGGGTATAAATGAAAACTGCTGTATCAGAGAAGTGCTGTAGAGCAGGGCCTGCCTGTATATTAAAGGCAACAAGTTATTTACAATGATTAACCTTTTAAAATTTACTCCCCTTTGTAAAGTACAGGTTGATCATCACTAATCTGGCACCATCAAGCCCTGTAGGGTGCCACATTACCAATTTTGCTGGAATACAGAGTAGTTAGGTTAGAATACACTTAAGCTAATGGCAGTATTTACACATCGGCAATTTCACCCACTTTACACCCTATTTTTGGCCCATTCCATTCTTCCAGTCTACCAAACTCATAGCTATTCCACTAGTATTCCTTCTATTCTGTCGATCGAGTACAAGAAACCGCCCATTTACCTATTTCAACTACCCAATAAAGTGATCAGAAATTGGTAATTTGGACAATTTCACACAAATTTTAAGAGATGCAATTTCAAAACAGGGTCCAAAATAAACAATACAGACATTCCTGGCACTAAAATAACATTTTCTCTGTTCATTAGTCACATCTCTAGGCCCCTCTTATATTACACTTGCTTTCCATTTTAAATTTTTATCCCCATAATGCCATGGGCATTACGGGGAAGGTATGCAGGTGGATTTTCGGTTTCCTAACACACAGAACACAAAAAGTAGTAGTGAACAGGGCAAGATCCAGCATCAGCGAGGTCAAAAGCTCAGTGCCCCAAGGCACTGTCCTGGCACCTCTGCTGTTCCTCATCCTTATAGCAGACATAGACAAAAACACCCGGCACACTTTTGTATCATCATTTGCAGATGACACTAAAATAAGCATGAAAGTCAGTATGGTAGAGGACACTGAAAAAGTACAGGAAGACAAACAGGGTTTTCCAGTGGGCAGTGGAGAAGAACATGACGTTCAATGGTGATAAGTTCCAGCTGCTTAGGTATGGAAAGAATGAAGAACTCAAAAGGAGCACTATATAGAAAACTCAAGAGGGTCACTAAATAGAACATAAGAAACACGTAAAAGACCTAGGAATAATTATGTCAGCGGACCTTTCTTTTAAAGACCATAACAAGACAAAGATCATGACAGCCAGGAGGATGACGGGGTGGGTATTGAGAACTTTCAAAACAAGGGAAATAATGCCGATGGTGACACTCTCCAAATTGCTAGTGCTCCCTCACTTAGAATATTGATCAGTGCTGACGGCCCCGTTCAAGGCAGGAGAAATATCGGAGCTGGAACAAATACAGAGATCGTTTACGGCTCACGTTGAGCCAGTAAAGCATCTAAACTACTGGGAATGCCTGCAAGTCTTGAACATGTACTCATTGGAGTGGAGGAGAGAGAGGTACGTGATAATATATACCTGGAAGGTACTTGAGGGCTTGGTCCCAAATCTGCACACTGCCATAACAACATACTGGAGTGAGAGATATGGGAGGAAGTGTAAAATAAACCCAGTGAGGAGCAGGAGTGTGGTGGAGACAGTAAGGGAACACTGTATCAACATCCAGGGTCCCAGATTTTTTAACATCTTACCAGAAGATATCAGAAACACTGCTGGAACAAGTGTAGAAGCCCTCAAGAGGAAACTGGACAAGTATCTTCACCAGGTGCCAGATCAACCAGGCTGTGATGGATATGTGGGGCAGTGGGCCTCCAGCAGCAACAGCCTAGTTGACCAGGCAAGCACCAGACGAGCCTGGCCCATGGCCAGGCTCAGAGAGTAGATAAACTCTTGAAACTCTTCAAAGGTATATCAAAGGTATACATAAAAAAATAAAAGATTTACTGTTATGCAGACTACTGCACTATTGTAATTGTATAAACAATGTAAACCCATTCATGACTGCATATTAGACCAGCCAGTTGGATACGTATTGGACTGTGATATCATTTGCTTACTCTTGAACATCGGTAAAAATCGAACGTTTCCGCTACTTTGAGCTCAATTTCAAGGTACTTTCTGTTATGAAACCAATCAAAATCATGTCTATTTCTGTAACTTGTCTTCCATTCTCTCAAATAAGACAAAAAAAATGAGAATACAGCCATAAAAATCATACAAAAATACACCGCAAAGTTGGTTTTACACCAAAAATACAGTCGCATTTTTTTTTTCATTATGCACTGCGTGCTGCAGGATTTTTGTTTATACAGTGCACACTTACCACACGGACCTATTATCTCCTATGTAGGACCAAATTTACTGGTCAGAGCTTATGTGAGTGAGCTGAGCTCATGGTGACCAACAGTGGCTTCAAAGCCACCTTATCTTTTATGGACAATGTACGGTGTACGTGCTTTACACAGCGAGAAGCATTTCCTCTATTCATTGGAACCATGGCTCGGGGTAAAAGTGAGCAGGTTGGCGTGGCAACCCAGAAATTTGAAATTATGCTAGCTGAAATTAGTGCCGGATTACTGACAGAACCAGATTACTGATTGCCGGATTAGTGATGGCCAACCTGTAATATAAACTGATGACTTTATTATCAAGCATTTTTGTAATACTCACCTACTGTATTTTCCCCGTGATTCTAATACTTTATCCCAGCAAGTTTTTAGCTAGCTTCCTACAGAACCACCTTAACTTTCAATCTCTTCCCTCTGTGTAACATCATATCACCAAAAGCACCATAGAAAAAACACCAGTTCTCCAGTCAATTGAATTTATCACATAATTATTCATTGCATCAGCTCTTCAATGTTTTTCAGCAATAAATAGTATATATACAGTAAACTGTCAAAATAGCATCACCCTACACAATGGCACTCTTGAGCTAACAGCACACTGAAACTGACGCCATTTATACAGCGCCCTGAGCTGCAGTAGCAGAACTCGGCAACACATGAATATTTGTTTGATGATTACGACATATATTCAGCAGTTTGGTATCTTCATTGTTTTAAGTTTCACCTATAGAGTAGGCTTCTTTAGTTAAGTGCAGAGGAGACAGTAGGTGTAGTGGTGAAATGAAGATGATGTAATCAGTCTATCAACCTTGGAGAAAAAGTATTTGAGGGGTTCAATCCCTCATTCTGGATGAAGAGTTCATCTCCATGGTCTGGAACAACATCCAACTGTTGTACATGTGTCTTAATCGTCAACTTGTCGGTATTTTATACCATGTTCAATACGAATATTTGTTTACAGTGGCCATTTTGAAAGTGAACTCCGTGCTGATAGGATGTTACAATATACAGTGCCATTTTACCTTTGCTGTATGTGTAATTAATTAGAGCAAGAAATGTTTCCTCAACTTGCAAATGAAGAAAAACAAACATTAAAATTGTGACAAACCTGATATAATAAAGAAACTAGAACGGGGTGTAAGTAGAAGTGTGTTAACCCTTAAATGGTCCAAACGTATATATACGTTTTTTCAACATTTGAAAGTATGTAAAAAAATGTAGATCTTCTTTTTTGTTTTACATTTGAAAATGTGTAAAAAAAAACTTTTATCTACATTTTTTTTTGTTACATTTGAAAATACGTTAAAAAAATTAGATCTACTTTTGTAGCACTACGAATTTGAACGTCGATTTGTTTGGACCGTTTAAGGGTTAATGACGAAGTATAACATCGGATCACCAACACAGAATGTATTAAACAGTCAAAACAAAAACTTTCTAAACAATGGAAAAATCAAAATAACAGCACCTTTAATCCCCAGGGGTGCTGTTATTCATAAAGTTTACTGTACTATGTATGTACTATTTATCTATTGTAGCAGCTTTTCCTCTAGATAATGTTTTGCTCATCAAAAAACAGGAAAATGCTTCCTGGCACATATCTTGTTCAGGTTGTAAGTTGGTAGACAAACTGTGGAAAATAACACTTCTCTACAGTTCAGGACATTTACTGAAGGAAACGTTACCTTGAAACATTGACAAAGACATTCATGGCAAATCTTTTTCTTTAATAAATGTTCTTAATTGTTCGCAAGTATCCTCTTCCACAGGTGTTTATCAGATGATGACCAATTACCTAGTTGAGCATCTGCTGACCTACCACTGTTAAGTTTTCCACCCCCACTTAAATAACAATCACTAAATAGTAATGATTTTCACATATAAAAGTCCCCTTGTGAAAACTGGACATCTAAAAGTCCTATTATGAATACTGAACATCTAAAAGCACCACTGTGAATGCTGATAAAAAACACCATTATGTTAATGGGTAATTAACTTATTTAAAATAGACACTCTTATTAGTTAAAATTCCTATGTCCTTATCTCCTATATTGGAAAGCTATAATAGTGAGTATACCTACCTCAGCAAACAGTAGTCCCTTTGGTTCTAGCTGAAGTGCCATTCCATGTCTTACATCATCAATGAACTCCTCCAACCTTAGGAACTTAACCGCGCACAGCGACCGCCAGTCTCGCCAGTAGATGTCTATTTCTAAGTCTCTGGATTTTTCTAAATCGATGCTAAATCTACATATAAGAAACAAACATATATTAATTTAAGAATAAATAAATACATACATAAACAAATAAAATAAAAGAAAGGTCATCTCCACTGAGGCAGGGTATAAAAAAAAAAAAAAATTCACCATCATTCACTCCATTACTGTCTTGCCAGAGGAGTGCTGGCATTAGAGTTCAAAACTGCAAATATCCCTACCCCTCTTTCAGCTGCAGGCACTGTACTTTCTACCTCCAATACTCAAGTGTGGCTAACTGGTTTACCCGAGTCCCTTCATACATGTTACCATGCTCACACTCCAACAGCATTTCAAGTCAGAAAAACCACTTGCCTCCATTCACTCCTATCTAACATGCTCATGCACACTTGCTGGAGGTTTAAGCCCCTTGTATACAAAACCTATATCCCCTCCCTCCAACATTTTCTAGGACAACCCCTACCCTGCCTTTCTTCCACTACAGATATATACACCCTCCAACGCATCCTATTTTGTTACATACTCTCTAAATGTCCAAACCACTTCAACAACCAGTCTACCACCCTCTGGATAATACTTTTAGTAACCCCACACCTCCTAATCTCCAAGCTATGAACTCTTAGCATGATATTTGCACCACACACAACCTTCTGACACGACACCTCCACTGCCTCCAGCCTTCTCCTTGCTGAAACATTCACCACCCATGCTTCACACACATACAAGAGCACTGGTACCACTATACAGCCTCTCCTCATTTAATGATGGAGTTCTGTTTCTAAGACCACATTGGTAAACAAATTTATTGCTAAGCAAGGAGAATACTATAATGGTAGTGGGTTTGTGTCAACCATCTTTGATATTGTTTTAATGTCACCTTTGCATCATTTATAACTGGTATATTTTTAAATGTTCATACAGTAGTGTACTGTATACTGAAATAAACAGAATAGAGGAAATCAGCTCTAATATACATTATTTGGGTATAAATACTGGTCACAGGGCCATCGTAACTCTGAGGCATCGGTAAACGAGCACGTGGCTAAGTGAGGAGAGGTTGCACTCTCATACATTCCCTTTTTTTGCTTCCATGGATAACATGCTTTTTCTCCACATATACCTCAATGTATTTTTCTCTACAACTGCAGGCTGAGGGACTGATTACCTCAAACTCCTATTTTTCTTTCACCGTTCTTCTTTGTATGGGACTGAAAAAGCCACTGGCTGGCAAAATGTATCTTCAATAAAGATTCCTAAATGTTGCACAAGTGTATCATTATTCAATTTGTTGGTTTTCTAAACTATTTACATCACAGGCTCAGTTATGTCGCAAAATTCATTTTTCTTGTTGGAAATACTGATGAGAGCTGGTTCTAAGGTCCTGTATCTCTGGATTTCCTCTTTCTTGATAATGAGTAGTGTGCCTCTTGTAATTAATCAAATAGTTGTGGGAATTTCAGTGTTGAACTCAAGAATCATCCACAAGTAATCAGCTCTGCTGATGCACTGATGCTGGTAAATGCTTTTTATGGAGATCCCTGGATGTTTTATCTTCTAGTATCAATTTATGTTTATGAATTGATAAAGCAGACTGTGCGGGAAAATGCTGTCAATGTAAGGCATGAAAATCTATATTATTTTTGACAAATTAAGAAATTAAAAAGCTTGTTTGGGTTTTTTCTTGATATGTCAGGAACACAACCCTATTTTTCCGTATGTTGTTCAGTTCAGATAATGCTGCTGCTGTTAAGCAACAAATTTTAAAATTGTAACCTACTCATTAATTCAGATTCTGCTGAATTACTGTAATGATATAACAATTATCTTTCCTCCATAAGCCATGTGTGTCATAAGAGGTGACTAAAATGCCAGGAGCAAGGGGCTAGTACCCTTTCTCCTGTATACGTAAGGTTTTCTTCTTTTCTGGGTCACCCTGCCTCAGTGGAAGATGGAAGGTATGTTGAAAAAAATATATAACAGTTATACTTTTTCTGTGTCTGGGATTATAACAAATGCAAATTTAAGATCAGTTTAACGTTGCACTCTTTTATTTATACAGGGCTTAAACTTCATCAATCGATCACTGCAGGAAAGCTTTAGAGGTGGCATAACTTGCCATCATCACTGATACACAAAGATATCAGCATTGAGGTTGTGGAATTAGAGACCTCTCAGGTGCTGTGCACATACCTCTGCAAACACTAATCACAAACTTTCACTCTAAACTGTCTACCTCTGATTGAACTTGTCTTCCACCACAACATTCCTTCACTGAGTGAAAATATTTCCACAAATGTCCAGTAAAATCATCATTCATAAGAGTGGACCTACCTCTGGTCCCATGCTGATTGAGAGCATGGCTTCCAGCTAGTTTGGCCAACAACTTTGTTATTATCTAATTTTAGTACCGCCATTACATCATCTGCAAACAAAAATATAATAATGCATCACATCCTCTAAAGTTTAAACACATTAAGTAGGATCTGAATAAATAAAATACATAAATTAATTTGTGTAATATAACAGTGCTCTATTAAAATTTCAATTTAAATACTAACTCCTTGGCATGCTAAAGTATTCATTATTGATATTATTACATTAATTGGAAAGGAGTTGTAGTATAATATTTGTCAGTAAATAGGATATACCATCTTTTAGGAGTGAAGAAGAGCAGAATGTAAGTGTGGGGGAGGTACGTGAGGCATTACGTAGAATGAAAGGGGGTAAAGCAGCTGGAACTGATGGGATCATGACAGAAATGTTAAAAGCAGGGGGGAATATAGTGTTGGAGTGGTTGGTACTTTGTTTAATAAATGTATGAAAGAGGGGAAGGTACCTAGGGATTGGCGGAAAGCATGTATAGTCCCTTTATATAAAGGGAAAGGGGACAAAAGAGATTGTAAAAATTATAGAGGAATAAGTTTACTGAGTATACCAGGAAAAGTATACAGTAGAGTTATAATTGAAAGAATTAGAGGTAAGACAGAATGTAGAACTGCGGATGAGCAAGGAGGCTTCAGAGTGGGTAGGGGATGTGTAGATCAAGTGTTTACATTGAAGCATATATGTGAACAGTATTTAGATAAAGGTAGGGAAGTTTTTATTGCATTTATGGATTTAGAAAAGGCATATGATAGAGTGGATAGAGGAGCAATATGGCAGATGTTGCAAGTTTATGGAATAGGGGGTAAGTTGTTAAATGCTGTAAAGAGCTTTTATGAGGATAGTGAGGCTCAGGTTAGGGTGTGTAGAAGAGAGGGAGAATACTTCCCGGTAAAAGTAGGTCTTAGACAGGGATGTGTAATGTCACCATGGTTGTTTAATATATTTATAGATGGGGTTGTAAAAAAAGTAAATGCTAGGGTCTTTGGGAGAGGGGTGGGATTAAATTATGGGGAATCAAATTCAAAATGGGAATTGACACAGTTACTTTTTGCAGATGATACTGTGCTTATGGGAGATTCTAAAGAAAAATTGCAAAGGTTAGTGGATGAGTTTGAGAATGTGTGTAAAGGTAGAAAGTTGAAAGTGAACATAGAAAAGAGTAAGGTGATGAGGGTATCAAATGATTTAGATAAAGAAAAATTGGATATCAAATTGGGGAGGAGGAGTATGGAAGAAAGTGAATGTTTTCAGATACTTGGGAGTTGACGTGTCGGCGGATGGATTTATGAAGGATGAGGTTAATCATAGAATTGATGAGGGAAAAAAGGTGAGTGGTGCGTTGAGGTATATGTGGAGTCAAAAAACGTTATCTATGGAGGCAAAGAAGGGAATGTATGAAAGTATAGTAGTACCAACACTCTTCTATGGATGTGAAGCTTGGGTGGTAAATGCAGCAGCGAGGAGACGGTTGGAGGCAGTGGAGATGTCCTGTCTAAGGGCAATGTGTGGTGTAAATATTATGCAGAAAATTCGGAGTGTGGAAATTAGGAGAAGGTGTGGAGTTAATAAAAGCATTAGTCAGAGGGCAGAAGAGGGGTTGAGGTGGTTTGGTCATTTAGAGAGAATGGATCAAAGTAGAATGACATGGAAAGCATATAAATCTATAGGGGAAGGAAAGAGGGGAAGGGGTCGTCCTCGAAAGGGTTGGAAAGAGGGGGTAAAGGAGGTTTTGTGGGCGAGGGGCTTGGACTTCCAGCAAGCGTGCATGAGCGTGTTAGATAGGAGTGAATGGAGACGAATGATACTTGGGACCTGACGATCTGTTGGAGTGTGAGCAGGGTAATATTTAGTGAAGGGATTCAGGGAAACCGGTTATTTTCATATAGTCGGACTTGAGTCCTGGAAATGGGAAGTACAATGCCTGCACTTTAAAGGAGGGGTTTGGGATATTGGCAGTTTGGAGGGATATGTTGTGTATCTTTATATGTGTATGCTTCTAAACTGTTGTATTCTGAGCACCTCTGCAAAAGCAGTGATAATGTGTGAGTGTGGTGAAAGTGTTGAATGATGATGAAAGTATTTTCTTTTTGGGGATTTTCTTTCTTTTTTGGGTCACCCTGCCTCGGTGGGAGACGACCGACTTGTTGAGAGAGAGAAAAAAAAAAAAAAAAAAAAAAAAAAAAAAAAAAATAGGATAAGCGTTTCCTGAGGCTTGTCTTAGTCACATGATGACTCGCAGCTGGAGCTTTTTGTCATGTGATCGAGGCCTTCTGCTGGCTTACCTCTCCACACCTCTAAAAATTATGGTTATGATTATAATCATTTGATATATTATTGTAATGGGAAGGAGTAAATCTGACAGGTTTATATAGTGCCTTGGGAAAGGGAGGTTCAACATCTGCTATACTGCTCCCCATCCATCCTATTATATACATTTTCTAAATTCATGAATGCTAACAAAAAGTTGCCTACCTTTACCTAAGTATTGTTTATTTTCATTTTCAAGATATATATATATATTTGGTATCTGTATATGAGCTACACATCTCCTACACTTTTTAAATCCTCCTTGTTTCTCTGCAATCCTACTTTTTACCTTACCCATAACTCTCAATAATAATAATATACTTTTTTTTTTTTTTTTTTTCCAACAAGTCGGCCGTCTCCCACCGAGGCAGGGTGACCCAAAAAAGAAAGAAAATCCCCAAAAAGAAAATACTTTCATCATCATTCAACACTTTCACCACACTCGCACATTATCACTGTTTTTGCAGAGGTGCTCAGAATACAACAGTCTAGAAGCATACACATATAAAGATACACAACATATCCCTCCAAACTGCCAATATCCCAAACCCCTCCTTTAAAGTGCAGGCATTGTACTTCCCATTTCCAGGACTCAAGTCCGACTATATGAAAATAACCGGTTTCCCTGAATCCCTTCACTAAATATTACCTGCTCACACTCCAACAGATCGTCAGGTCCCAAGTACCATTCGTCTCCATTCACTCCTATCTAACACGCTCACGCACGCTTGCTGGAAGTCCAAGCCCCTTGCCCACAAAACCTCCTTTACCCCCTCTCTCCAACCCTTTCGAGGACGACCCCTACCCCGCCTTCCTTCCCCTATAGATTTATATGCTTTCCATGTCATTCTACTTTGATCCATTCTCTCTAAATGACCAAACCACCTCAACAACCCCTCTTCTGCCCTCTGACTAATACTTTTATTAACTCCACACCTTCTCCTAATTTCCACACTCCGAATTTTCTGCACAATATTTACACCACACATTGCCCTTAAACAGGACATCTCCACTGCCTCCAACCGTCTCCTCGCTACTGCTTTTACCACCCAAGCTTCAATAATAATATACGTATATATATTTTACCCTCAAGGTAGTAGGTTGGTAGACAGTAACCACCCAGGGAGGTACTACTGTCCTGCCAAGCGAGTGTAAAACGAAAGCCTGTAATTGTTTTACATGATGGTAGGATTGCTGGCGTCCTTTTTTTTGTCTTATAAACATGCAAGATTTCAGGTACGTCTTGCTACTTCTACTTGCACTTAGGTCACACTGTACATACATGTACAAGCATATATATATACACACCTCTCTGGGTTTTCTTCTATTTTCTTTCTAGTTCTTATTCTTGTTTATTTCCTCTTATCTCCATGGGGAAGTGGAACAGAATTCTTCCTCTGTAAGCCATGCGTGTTGTAAGTGGCGACTAAATTGCCGGGAGCAAGGGGTTAGTAACCCTTTCTCCTGTAAAAATTACTAAATTTAAAAAGAGAAACTTTTGTTTTTCTTCTTGGGCCACCCCGCCTCGGTGGGATATGGCTGGTTTGTTGAAAGAAAAGAAAGATATTTTACCCTATATGCTAAAAAGGTTAATTCCCCTTTAAATTCTTACATTCATCCTTTATATGTATCTTCGATATACCTTTGATGAGTTTTTCTAATCCCAGAGCCTGGCCATGGGCCAGTAATCCCTCCATATAATGGACTAACAGGGGTAGTGGGTAGCTGGTAACGGAGCCCATAATGGACAAAGAAGAGATTGTTTAGCTGTGAAAATAACAAAATCAGACAATTCCATGGATAACAAACTTTGTCCTTTTGACAAAGAGGATTTTGTTCCATATATTTTTAAGTCCAATATACAGAGGTCCATTATATGAAGGGTTTATGTAGAACTAAGTATAATCTCTGTATGAATAAAATACTTTTAAGTTTGTAATTCTGAATTTATTTCTTTTAACAGGCTGGCTGTCTCCCACCAAGGCGAGGTGACCCAAAAAAGAAAGACTTTCACCATCATTCGTACAATCACTGTCTTGCTAGAAGCACACGGATATGACAGTTTAGATGTCCCTCATAACAGTAAATATCCCAAACCCCTCCTGTAGACTCAGAAAATTATTATCCTACAGAAAATACTTGTAGAATGGATGATTGTGTTACACATGTGTTGCACATCAGGCTTTACAGGTCTCCCTCAACATTCGCGAGGGTTAGGGGATCAAGAGCCTCGCGAATGTTGAAAAACTGTGAATGTTTGGTGCCCCAATATATTGTAGGGAAATATATTACAATATTGCTCCCTTAACTTGTTGAACCATGAATAATCATAAAATACATGAAAACGTCGTAAATTGTACTAAATATATACATGTTATGCTTTAATAACGTATGTTATTTAATAACTTGTATGTTAATAACATGTATGTTATTAAATACCACAGACTCCACCACTGCCTCCACCACTGCGAGTCCCTACTACCCTCCCTCCGATCCCCGCAACTGGCAGCCAGCCCTACCACCACTCAGTGTGGTGAGTGTTTTAACATAAGAACATAAGAAAGGAGGAACACTGCAGCAGGCCTGTTGGCCCATACTAGGCAGGTCCTTTACAATCCATCCCACTAACAAAATATTTGCCCAACCACTTTTTGTTTGTTCATTACTTGCTATTAAACTACAGAATAAATAATGTAAACCCATTCATGACTGCATATTGGAATGGCTATTAGGAAAGGTATTAGACGGTGACATCATGTGTTTACTCTTGAAGACAGCAAAGAATCGAACATTTCTGCTATTGCTAATAATAACAATAGTAATAATAATAATAATAATAATAATAATAAATACGATATAATTGAAGAAGGAAATTGTACAAAAATACGAGGGAGTGGTTGACACATCGTCAGTGTGACTTTGTTTATGCTGGAGTGAACATTAGTCTCCCTGCTCTTCCAAACATTTCACAATAATTCAGCGGTTGAGGCAGTGGTATTTAATAACATATATGTTATAAATAATAATAGTACATGTTATTATTAATAACATGTATTATTATTAACATGTATGTTATTAAATACCATTGCCTCAATCACTGCCTCTACCACTCCAGTCACACTCAGTCTACAAGCACCAAACACAATGAATTATTGTGAAATGTTTGGAAGAGCAGGGAGACTAATGTTCACTCCAGCATAAACAAAGTCACACTGACGATGTGTCAACCACTCCCTCGTATTTTTGTACAATTTCCTTCTTCAATTATATCATATTTATTATTATTATTATTATTATTATTATTATTATTATTACTACTACTACTGTTATTATTAGCTGTAGCAGAAATGTTTAATTCTTTGCAATGTTCAAGAGTAAACACATGATGTCACCATCCAATACCTGTCCAAATAGCCATTCCAATATGCAGTCATGAATGTGTTTACATTATTTATTCTGTAGTTTAATAGCAAATAATGAACAAACAAAACACTCACCACACTGAGTGGTGCGAGGGCTGGCTGCCAGTTGCGGGGGTCGGAGAGAGGGTAGTAGGGACTCGCAGGTGGCGGGAAACTTAAATATGATTTGGCGGCTGGGAATTTGGCGGTTGGGAATTCGCGAATGTGTGAAGCCCGTGAAAGTTGAAAACGTGAATGTTGAGGGAGACCTGTATAATCAAAACTTTCTCATTACATAAGTGTTTTTAACTGCAGATCACAGTAACTTGTGTTCGTAAGGCAGGGTCTTACCGCATTATGTTTTATATTACAAGCAAAAATTACCTTTGAAAAATGCAATACTCCCAAATTAAACTTACTTGAAATTTCGTCCTTAACAGAATAGGATTTAGAGGATTTTCCTGTGACGCCTTTCATGAAAGATTTGAGGTCGGAGGGTCCGGAGTGGGAATCTCGGCGGGACCGGCCTGGAACATCCTCCAGGAGGTCTTGTACACCAATCAATCTTTAAACACAAGAGCAGCAATACATATATACAGAAGAACAGTGATACATAAACAGTAGTGATACATATATACAGTGAAACAGTGATACATAAATAGCAGTGATACATATATACAGTGAAAGTGATACATAAATAACAGTGATACATATATGTAGTGAAACTGATACATAAATAGTAGTGATACATTTATAGAGTGATATGTAAATAGTAGTGATACATTTATAGAGTGATATGTAAATAGTAGTGATACATATAAACTCCATTATCAAAAGATAACCATGAGTCACAAGCTATTAGAATATATACCATAGTACAGTGGACCCCCGCTTTACAATCACCTCCCAATGCGACCAATTATGTAAGTGTATTTATGTAAGTGCATTTGTACGTGTATGTTTGGTGTCTGAAATGGACTAATCTAATTCACAATATTCCTTATGGGAACAAATTCGTTCAGTACTGGCACCTGAACATACTTCTGGAATGAAATAATATCGTAAACCGGGGGTACACTGTATATAGATCCTCCTCGACTTATGTCTGAGTTCAGTTCTGACCTACCGGTCGGATCTCAAAACTCACAGATATGGGAATTATGTTAGCATGGCATGTGGAAGTCATTTACCTGTACAGCATTCTTTTAACCTAATAAATTTGTCATGATTATCTTTTTTTTATTTTTTATCAAATTGCTTTATTTCATTATTCCCATATTGATGTTGCTTACTTGTATCATTCATAGGCTTTACAAATAAAAATGTTGTACGGAATGTAGCCTAGGCTAGGCCTATACTCAAGATTTCAACTCTTGCACTAATATAGTGTATTAATGTTGGTAGAATTAGTGACAATATGTTGGGTAAAAGGACACAAGTGAAACTCATGTGACAACTTATTGTGGCAATATTTTGCTCTCCAGGAGCTTAAAGCTCCTGGAGAGTGAAACGTTACCACAATAAAATGTCACGGGTTCGATTTCCGGCGGGTGGAAACATTTCGACACGTTTCCTTACACCTGTTGTCCTGTTCACCTAGCAGCAAATAGGTACCTGGGTGTTAGTCGACTGGTGTGGGTCGCATCCTGGGGGACAAGATTAAGGACCCCAATGGAAATAAGTTAGACAGTCCTCGATGACGCACTGACTTTCTTGGGTTATCCTGGGTGGCTAACCCCCCGGGGTTAAAAATCCGAACGAAATCTTATCTTATCTTATAAATAAAACATTTTCAAGTGAAGTATAATATGGAGTAGTAAAGAATAAAAAGGCACAATAACATGTCTGGAACAATACACAAGTAACCCACACACAGGAAAAAGAAACTTATGACAACATTTTGGTCCAACTTGAACCATTAACTAATAAAGTCTGTTTGAGATAAATACTCTTAATGATTTACACATCTGGAGAGCATTAATTGTGACAGACTTGTAAGACATACAGAACCATGGAAGAGTTAGGTATACAGAGTCATAATAATGGCTACACTACCAGCATTATGAAAAAGGAAAGTAGCCTTTAGGACTATACAGTATGATATCTTAGTACAGTGGACCCCCGCATAACGATGGCACACATAGCTTTTTTTTTCCGCATAACATTACTTTTATCGAAAAATTTTTTGCCGCGAAAACCTTTAAAAAACCCCCGTTCCCGATTTTCGTCCGAGAACCTCCAATGTGCCCTAAAGCCAGCCTCACATGTGCCGCCCCGTCCCATTGTTTCCCACCACCCCCCCGCGGTAACATCCAAGCAACACCGAATATTTCGTATTTTCAGATTTTCGGTGTGTTTCTGGAAAAAAAGTGACCATGGGCCCCCCAAAAACTTTAGTGCCAACCCTACACCTAAAAAAGGGTAAAAATTAAATATAGAGAAAAAGAAAAAGATAATTAAAAAGTTGAAAGTGGAGTGCTAAGCCGCCCTGTCAAGCTGTACAAGAAACCCAATCAACCACCTACTATGTGGGCACCAGAAAGACAACAAGGAAGCTGTTCTTGCCAAAGGTTCAACTGTGTTTTAAAACAAAGATCGCAAGTGAGGGAAAAATGTTAGAGACCTTATGGTGGGGGATAAATAAAAACAGAAAGCAGGAAAAGCATCTCTCAAGCGATATATTTTTGGAAAAGTGGGAAAGGCATAGGTTTTAAAAAAAAACCTCAAAAGGATATTAGTAAAAATTTAAGGCCACAAAGGTTGGGAAATTTTAAAGAAGCGAGGGCACCAATGTTTAAGGCAGGTAGGCGCCATTTGGGGACCAAAAAGCGGCTGAAAAATATTGCAGGAAATTTCAAGGAGTACATAGAAACTAAGGACGAAACCTGAAAAAAGGTTTAAAATTGTTAAACGGGGCCGTTCTGGAAAAAAAATCCCAAGCAGGCCCTACATTACCGGAGGAAAAACACCCCAGACAAAAGCCTATAAAAAGACAGGCTTACTTTTTTTATGTGGGGCCAATGCCGGGTGATTGCAAAGTAAAGCCTTTATTGGGATAAATCTGAAAAACCCCCAGAGGTTCGGGCAAAAAATGTCCTCAAGGAAAATTTGTGTGTGCTGTGGAGGGGAAAAAGTAAG